TTAACATGCCATAAATCTTAACACTTAGGGAAAATCCTAGAAATAACTGGGATTTATTTTCCAATACCTGGTGAAATGAAGGTTTTAAGTAGACAATGATTCACTCAAAAATTGGGTGTTCCAGTCTCTAGAAATATAATATTGCTTAAATAGCATAGCATTTTTGCTTTCCTGTAAATTCCTCAGGTCACAGTCCAAGGAGAACATGGCAACTGGCCTTTCATCAAGGACCCAGAACCTACTTAGAAGTCACTTCTATCTCTAAGTTGTCTTTATCATCTAAGATGGTTGCTGAGATTGAGGTTTTAAACATAACAAAAGAGAAAAAGACCAAGAATGGTCCATGCCAGCTCTCTGTCTCCCTAATAGGACTTTCTAGAAGTCCTGCCAAGGAACTTTCTCTTTGACAATCTCTAGCGCAAAAGAGACAGCACAATGTTATCTTCCAGCTGGTTCTGCTATTAAGGAAGAAAGGGAGACTGGATACTGAATACAGTTTACAGATGGTAATGTATTTCTTAGGGGGAAAACAAGAAGGTAAAATTATGCATGTAGGTTCATGAGCTGAGATTCACATACCCCATTTTGTCTCTCTAATAGGCAGTAACCTTATAGAAAACACAATGTATTTCTCTGTCATTCACAACGTTATCTAAACATCTAGCCCAATGTCTTCTACCTAGTAGACGTTCAATAAACATTTGCCGAATTAATTCACAAAATAATTGATAAAAAAGAATGGATAAATGAGTATATGTGGCCACCACTCAGCATCACTTAAAACTTACTTGATGCTTTATCGTGTGGTGATAGTCTTTAGTGTTGTTTACTAAGCATTTCTGGAGCTCTATGTTCGATACTGTATGTTCATCACTCCTTGTGAAGCCATGTGGTTGTGGCCAATGAGTGGCAGCAAAAGTGGCATGTGTATCTTCTGAGCCCAAGGATGTAACTGTCAACATGAGATCCACCAGAGTTCTCATTCCCACTGCCACAGCAACCAATGATGTCAGAGCTAGAAGATTCTCTGTTAGTCTGGGACTCCAAGAAAAGTGATAGAAAGTAGATGATCTGCCGTGAGTAGCTGGCATAGGCAAGATCTTATTTCCTTGATTCACAGACTTACCTTTCCCATCATTCACATGCAAACTCTTAACATAGTCAACAGGGGAGACCTTCCACTTGCTACAAAATACATCAAAATTGTGTTGGAAATTCATTACTAATTTAACTTCAAGTTAAAAATAATCGGTTTGATATAACTGTTATAATAAACAAATCCAGTGGAAGTAAAGATAGAACACTTAGTGTAAAATATACTTTCAAGAAAAATCTGTGCCTGAATGTTTTAAAGAATCCAGCAATAGAAATTTTTTTTAAATGTTAAATAGTTGCATTTGAATCAGGGTAAATTACAGCATTATAACAGGTGGCACAATTAAAAGAGGTCTTTTTTATCACTTTTGCTACACATATAAACTAATCATGTGTAATACACATCCACATTTGATTGCACAATATAAATATTAAAAGATACAATATAGAAATATACATGTTTTTAAGAGATAAAATCTCACTGTGGTAGCCTTAAAGTATACTGATCTGGCTAAGTGTTTTTATTTCTCACTTTTGAGTCAAAAGTAGATTTTGAAGACTGATTAAAAGTTATGATATATTTTACCCTAAAATTCTGTGGACTCTAACAAGTGAACATAGTTTGGTTATTACCAAGCAATTTTATCTTTCACAAATAGTACAATCAAAGCCTCTATTCTAAAATCCCAAAAAAGTATTAAAAGGCAATGCTTAACTTCTTCCAAACAAAGTAGTTTTAGTTACTATTAACCACTTTTTCCCCAACATACAATTTCATGGTTGTTATATGATTTGAATTCCTTGCATGGTAATATACCTAACTGGACATGTGAGGTATGTTTGAGATTGGTTACCCTTTTCTAGAAAAGCTGACTATTTTCCATGAGAATAAAAACGATGCTACATTGAAGACTGTTGCTGTAGATAGCGAACAGATAAATTATCTAACCAGGCAAGAAGAATACATGAAAATAACGGGGCCTCTCTTTGTGAGTAACGTAATCTTATAATCCCTATGGAGACTGTGTCATCTGAAAATAGACTGAAGCTAAACGAGTTTAAGAATCTGAGATTCTGAGTTGATACACAATTTTTCTTCTACAGTTTATTTATAAGTGTAACAAATAATTTTAGAGATCTACCAGCATGATTTTTCACTTAAAAAAAGAGAAAATTCTGAAAGAGTTTAGGGGCAATGCAGGCAGTAAAAGGACGACACTGTGTATTCTCCACCAAATTTTACAGCTTGGTGTTTTGATCCAACACTGAATTTCTGCATCGTGTTGAAGACTGTAGACCAAATCTTCTCCAAAATGTTGTCAGAAAATACAAGAATTGAATACTGTCAGCTCAGCCTACTGGCAATTCCAATACCCAGGTGTACAAACCTCGTTAACCTTTATTTTAAGAGTGACATGTTTGCAATGAGAGAACACAATGATGTAATTTGAATGAAATACCAAAGTTATCACCACTCTAGTTCACATCATGTGTCTTTGCAAAGGGTTCTCATAAGTCACCACTGACCCACGACCAGGTGGGCTGTTTGGTCCAGACATCATATGCTCAACCAGACCATGAAAAGCATGACTGCAGGTATGGCATATGCTTAACAAGCATATGAAGCACCAACTGGGCTCTGCTTCCTCTTGGAAGCTCCAGCTGAGGGATTCTGTGGTGGTGTCTTTCCAAGGGCAATGGCTTCCTTCAGGCCACCAGAGAATCTGAGGAGTTTTGGTCCCTCATGGATCATTGAACCCATGCGGTCATTATGCAGACACATATTGTGAGTAGAGGTTGGGAGTGGACCCAGCCTGATGTCTCCCCACAGTTCTGTTCTTTGTTGTCTTTAAGTCTACCCCTTCGAAAGCGACCCCTTCCCACAGCCCACTTCCCAGGTTTCTGGTCACTGACTTTAACTTTGTTTTTTACCACAAAATATTCAGGTTTTATAGCTATTAGTTCACCATGTGCTTCTTTTGACTTTAGGAAACTTAAACCTATTTCTTTCCTTGCCTTCTTAAAAAAAGGTTTAATGGAACTTGAATTTTTTCTATTGCAAAAATTCTTAGGGTTGTTGTCCAAAAATTCTTGAAATACAAAAAGAAATGATGTACTCTCATCCCTTACCACCACCTTCAAATAACTGAATTACATAAATAAAACATTACATAAGAGTACTTTGCTACAATTTATGGGAAGTAAATTTAACAAGAGCTGGCTCATTGTAGAAAAATTCAACTTATCTTTTCCTGGTCCTTCTCTTTTATACAGGGAGAGAAATTTATGTCAGTTAAAAAATCTATTACTGCTTCTCATAACGGAATCCATTATTTTTCTCCATGATCCATCAGGTAAAAACAAGAATAATAGATTGCTTTGACAGAACCTTGAACATAAACGTCCCCAAGAATCAAACACAGTAAGTTAAACAGGTTTCAGGTGGTATTAAAACAGAAAAGGATAACCTTTTTGTATTTCAAAACTAGATCTTACTAAGAAATTTATTATTATTAGCTACTGCAAAGAGACAAATTATATAGTAGCTGAATTTGCACAATGAAATGGGATTGTTTCCATTCACTTCTATATATAGCCAAGAAGAAATGAACATGAAGAAAAGGAATTATTTTCTTATAATTTTTACTAACTGGTTATTCATAATTTGCTGCTTGATTGCATTACACTAGATGACTTTAAATATATAAATGAATTTGTCCTATACACAGTCAACTGCTTAAAAAGGTGAATGTTGATCTTACAAATATTTTCTGTTCATAAAGGAGTCAAGTAGTCCTATAGCCATTAGTTTCACATAACCAGTTTTAGTCCAAAGTCTTCAGAAACTTTGGAGTGCATATGCACACACCTACTGGCCACACACACAGACACATACACACACACAGAGAGAGAGAGAGAGAGAAAGGAAAGAGATAAGATGATGTTGACAGATGGATAGATAGATTAGAGAGAGAGAGAGACATAACATACATACATAGATAAATCATCACTATTAATTCATCTCAGAGAATTTTCTCCTTAATGGACACCTCTCCAGCATCTAATACTCTCTAATTTTATTCAGATAAACCAAACTCTCAACTGGGTCCCTGGGAAGGTGACCACATTCCCAGCTTCCAAGTCAGAACTTTTTCTAAGCCAGTCAGCACACAGCATTCACATTAAGTATTGACCAGGACTGGGCTTGGGATCCAAGTTTGCCTGAATAGAAAAATGAAAGTGATTTTTATCCAAGCTTGAGAGAGAGATTTCTCATTTTCTCCTGCTTGATGAGAAGAGAACAAGGAGCCCCCTTTGCTACTGACAGCCACCTGTGACCCTGGAAATGAGGATAGTGCTGATGGCAGGGGAGGGTTGGAAAGACTGGGATCTCTGCTGGCATCATTGAGCTGCTAATGGTATTGTACCTGAAGCCCTCTCTCCCTCCTGTCCCCCAGTTAAGAGTTTTCAAATTTATTGACTGCTTCATCTAGTTTGAATTTGGGCTTCAGTAACTGTCTAGATAGATTTTTCTTCTTTAAAGAAAGATGAGAGAATATACTAAAAATATCCTGCTTTCTCATGGCTTGTTTCATTCATATTGCTTTACATCAGAAGCTCTTTGAAAGTATATTCGATTTTGAAACCACCTTGGAGAAGTCTACCTACCCATCTAATGGGGCAGAGAAATTGACATACCTGCTGCTTAAAAAGACAGTAACATTGTTACAAAGCTTAATATAAATGTAAGATGAGTAAAAACTCTATTGTCCGACCAGACCAAAAGAAAAAAAATTAATTTTATAACTAACTTAAGACACTATTCCTAGCCTCTAGTTCTGAAATTGAGCTTGACCCTTTTGTGTAGTCTATTTAAAACTCTGGCCTACATGTCAAAATGCATGTCTTTTCCTTTTTTAAAAATTGCTCAGAGGTCCTTAGGCTATAGCAATCCTACTGCCCTCCTCTAATTTTCCTTAACTATTTTGATATCTGGTTTCAGACTCTGTGGGTTATTAGATGTTTCTCACATATTTCTGTGGATAATAACTCATCAGCTTTGCAAGCTGATTCTCAACATTAAGAGATTAAAACTAATGTCGATGATTCTCAGATGACACATACTGAGGTATAGAAAAAAATCCATCATTTCCTTCTGTAAAATGAGAAAGATTTTAATTCATTTTCTCAACAGCTGCTTCATTTTTTTATGCATAGGAAAAAATATGTGCAATTACTCCAAGAACAATCAAGTCATTTAACAAGGCTTTACCATCATTGTAGTTACAGGATCTTTTAAAAGAGAAAAAAAAAATCTCAAAGCACAGGTCCTGCTGTGCAGCAAAGCAATCAAATTCCTTCATAATAACAGTCTGATGGAATTCAGCAATCCAAGGAAGAATGAATAACCAGTCTAATCAGTAAACAGGAAGATACCACAACAGTCACTGAGTAAAAATTGACTATCATCTGTTGATTCTCTTGATCAGCATTTCAAACAATAAATAGAAATGTAAGTATCTCTTAAAAAGAAAAATAACTTTGTTTAGTGTGCTTAATCTTACTAGGCAGTGAGAAAATAATATATCATCTTAGCCTGTCTTGCAGTGCTGCCCAGTCAATAAAATGCACACATAATCTTTTTTTATAATACATGGCTAAAAGTACCCTATCACCTGAATGTGCCAAGGATAAACTGATTTTGTCATTGGTTTGATAAGATTGTATTTCTGGACTGGTTATTCCTTTTTTGCTGTTGTTGTTACTTCATTATCTGATGTTTTCCTTCAGTATTCATCTAACGAAACAATCTGCATCTGAATATATGGAGTCTGTTTCAAAATAGTCCTCCAGTTTCAAGTTCAGTGTCTTGAACTGGGGTCGGTCCTCGGGCTTTTCACTCCAGCACTCCAACATGATGCTGTAGAATTTCTGTGGACAATTAGATGGCTGCGAGAGTCGATAGTTTTGACCCAACCTCTGGATTACCTGAGCACCTGTCATACCTAAAAATATAGAACGGAACAAACAAAAACAAGTCAAAGATCAGAGTCTTAAAGTAATAGACACTTATACTCAGGATTACAGAGAAGTCTAATTTTCTGGGAAAGCAGTCTACTAGCCCCTTCCCAAGCTGCAGAAATTAAGTTCCATCCTGCAGCAAGTGATGTCTATAAGACTGCAATTCAACTGTTAAGGAGAGGGAAGCAATAAACCACCTCATTAATGCAAATTATCACCATCAAATTTTATCTTTCAAGCTCCCGCAGGCACATGGTGTGGTCAGCCTCATAACTCTGCCCTCCAAGTCTAGGCAAGGTAGTTAAAGTCATACCTAAGTAAGTGACCTGCAGCAGAAAGGCCCACTTTGGAATTAGTTACTCACCACTGTAGGGCGTTCTGCCATAAGTAATGATTTCATAAAGAAGGATTCCAAATGACCACACGTCGGACTTAATGCTGAATTTATTAGTGCGAATGGCTTCAGGCGCCGTCCACTTCACTGGCAGCTTTATTTCATGTTTAGGCTCATAGATGTCTTCATTATCCACCTGTTAATACATTAAGGAATTAAGCCAAGTTTAAGAAGATTTTTTTTTCACTACACTTGTTCATCTGTAACCTGTTTCCCATTAAAATTTAGAGGGAAAAGATTCAAAATGAGCTTAGTTCCACTGATAATTACAGTAGCAAATTCTGAGTCGGCTTATAAGACTGAAAATTCTGTGAGAAGTCAGTAATAAAATATTACTTGAGAGCCTACTGTGTGCTAAGAACAGCCCTGGAAAACACATGCTACTACATATGGGAGAATTTATCATGATGGTTCTGGCTTCACGTCTGGTCTTCAGGAAATTTTTTTTTTAAATGGAAGAAAAGTTCTTCTGTTTTCTGATTTGCTGCTAGTATTAAAGGGCTACTGACTTTGATAATTACCCTGTAACCACTTGCTAATACTGAAAAGTAGAATCCAAGTGACGTAAATTAAAATGTCAACTCACTAGGGTTCTAATTAATCTACAAAAAGAAAAAATGATGAATTCATGGGGATCAAAAGGAAATCGTGTATTTGTTGGGTTTCATGCCCCACATCCATATTTTTAGGGTACAATGTGGAAATGTAAAATAAAATTCAGAGAAAAACACCTAATATTGTATTTCCTGCATTGTGCCTTTGGGACTGAGGTCAAAACATGGAGAAAAAATTAAAAAGCCAATGATTGCTGAAGGATTCTAGTAGCATGCCAATTAGTCCAGCATACAATGAGCAGTGGGGGAAGAGTAGCATATGAAAAACAGATTATGAATTCAACTATAAACCTAATTGTATTTACTCCAGTCAGACTGGTCCTTGTTTTCTGTTTTTCTCTTTGGCAAAGAAATAGGAATGAGCAGGTAGTTTGTGTGTAAGGTCAAGGGCTACTGACATGGTCTAAAGACATAGAACTTGGATAACCATTGCTTTGAAGAATAACAGTAAATTTATTAGCCTACTAGTCTGCTAAATTTTTGACCTGAACAAAATTTTGGACTTTCCAACAACCTGGATGGATCTGGAGTCTATCATACTCAGTGATCTATCACAGAACCAAAGAACTGAGTACCACATGTTCTCACTCATAAGTGGACCCTGAGCACCTATCATAATACTACAAAGAGGGAATTGGCAGTAGTAGGACACTGCCTGGAGGGAGGGGGCGCATAACATCAATTAGGGGTGCCTGATCCTAATTCAGGTGAAGTGAGGTCCAATGGGAGGCCCAAAACGTCACCTGTACCTAAATAACTTAAGTACGCAACCCTGACTTATACCCCACAACTTTTAAAAAAAAACAAAAAATTTTGACCTATTGCAAAAACTAATTAACACAAAACCAAATCCACCTTAAAAACTCTTGCAAGTCCAAAATCTGCCACTTTGTAGATATTATGTTCACCAACGAGGACATTTCTGGCAGCCAGATCCCTGTGGATGTAGTTCTGGGACTCCAGATAGGCCATTCCTGAGGCAACCTGTGCGGCCATATCTACCTGTTGAGTCAGATGGACTTTGGACCCAGCGTCATCTAAGCAATAAGAGAAAAGTCAGAGATTTACTTCAAAGAAACTTGAACTGCTAAAGTGAATACTGAGAATTCTGTCGAATGAGCTGTCAGTGAGATTAAGTGCAATGGCACTGATCTGTTGAGCTATATGTATATAATTGAAAGGATTTTATTTGTAAAGAGTTAATAAGGCAACAAATTTTGGAGTCTAAATACATCCCGTGCTGCAGCCCTCCCTCCCCTGAGTGTGCACTATACAGAGAAAGGAACAAAAGCATTGCATGATCCAACATAGACAATCATCTGAAAGCAGTCAGTTACTGCCATTTTCAATACCACACATCAATGAATCATCCCTTCACAGAAATTGTTACTTAGTTGCTATTAAATTTTTTCACACATTGCATAAATCATTTTAGTCACTGATCCTATAAAATGATACTACCTTGTATGGCTGGGCCAGTGAGAAGTTCTCATTCTTCCATTGTATTGTTCTTAAAACCAGTTCCCTAACAAAAATGAGGATCTATCAGTAGTTATAAAATGTGTACATTACATTCATACCACCAAGTTTAATACATTCTTTTCTTCTGTCTGTTATTCTTAGACTTGGTCTCTCCAGGCATGGATATACCATTAAGAGGCAGAGTTTCTCCTTCTGCTCGTTCTGTATAATAAATATAGAAAATGTATGTAATAGAATCAGTTCAGTCACCAGCAGAAGGGTCAGTGCTATTTAGTGGTGGCTTTTAAATGAGGTAAGTGATTCCTGGATTGTGCTTAGCTGCCCTACTGTTGATAGATGTCCAGATTTCTGGAGAATTGAAAGACTCTCACACAAATATAACTTATTATTTTCCCTATCTGAATAAACCAAATAGTGTTAGCTAAAGTCCGCTGGACTCATGGCCAAGAGTCTAAACACAGTCCTGACTTGAAAGGCTGCTAGAGTCCAAGGGCAGGATGCCCGGGTTGAAGCCTCCTGTTTTTTTGTGACCTTGAGAAAGCAGCCTACCATCCCCAGGCCTCAGTTTCCCCATCTGTAAGACAATAATAGTAACTACTTTATGGTATCAGTTGTTAAAATGAGAATTAAAAGGAGTTAATACATGTATCTGGCACCTGGAAAGATGAGCGTGTGATTATTGTCATTGCTCCTTCCTAATCAGAATGGAACAGCTGGGGACTTTTTATCAGGACACATTTGTATTATCTTGTGGAAATGCCCAAAAGAAGACAACATATGGTCTGGAACTCAAGAGAACATGCAGCTAGAGATACAGACATGAAAGTCATAGTGTGTGAGTAGCAGTTAAAACATCAAAAGTGGGCAATATTGTTGGGAAGTGACAGAAACATGAGAAACATCAACATGTATGGTGGTGGGCAGAGGAAGATAAACCTGCCAGAAAACCAAGAAGAAAACCAGTAGGCAACGTTTTCCCAAGTCTAAGGTTTTGAGGAAGAGAATGTTACCGTCAAATTCCACAAATAAGCTCAGGCAGGTAAGGACTAAAAGATACTTGTTACATATAATAATTAGGCAGTCACTGGTGATTTTGGTGATGAGAAGCAGGAGAACGAGTGGAGGAGAGACTGGGAGTTGATGACATGAAGACAGCAGGAGGAGGCAACAAGTCCCAAAACCCTAGGCAAGAAGGAAGACAAGCCGGGCTCGGTGGCTCAGCCTGTAATCCTGCTCCTTGGGAGGCTGAGGTGAGTGGATTGCCTGAGCCCACGGGTTCAAGACCCGCCTGGGCAAGTTGGACTCATCTCTACAATAAATCGAAAAATTAGCCAGGCATGGTACCGCGCGCCTGTAGTTCCAGCTACTTGGAAGGCGGAAGGATCGCCGGAGCCCAGGAGGTTGAGGCTGCGGTGGCTGGGAGTGGCCGCTGCACTCCAGTCTGGGCAACAGAGCAAGACTCCAACTCAAAAAAAAAAAGAAGGAAGACAAGCAGAATCTGGCAGAGGCACATGTGAAGTCAGGAGAGAGCAACTACAAAATTAAGACAGCAAGGGGCTGTGACTGATCAAATATCCGGGACTTATTGGGTGCTGGCCACATTCTAATTCTTTTTCCTTTTTTTTCTGACTTGGTGTTTCACTGTGTCACCCAGACTGGAATGCGGTGGCACGATCAGGACAATCATGGTTCACAGCAGCCTCGACCTTCTGGGCTCAGGCAATCCTTCTACCTTAGCATCCTTAGTAGCTGGGACTACAGGCACACACCACCACGCCTGGTTTATTTATTTATATAGGTATTTATTTATTTATTATGTAGCTATTTATTTATTTTGTAGAGACAAGGTCTCACTATGCTGTCTAGGCTGGTCTTGAACTCCTGGGCTCAAGCAATCGACCCGCCTAGGCTTCCCAAAGTGGTGGGATTACAGGCATGCACCACTGTACTGGCCCACATTCTAATTCTTGATCTGATCAGTGGCTACACAGTTGTTTACTCATTCACTTTGTAATTATATGTTAAACTGCACTGCATGACTTATGTGCTCTCCACATAGATGCTATTTCTTCAATAAAAAATGAAATGCATTTCTTAAAGGAGAAAGACAAGCATTGTGTATATGTATGTGTACACATATATTAGTTTTTAAGGCAAACAGCTGATTTCAATAAGATGTGAGGTGAAGCTAACTAACTGCTCCCTGATGCTTCCATCCTTTCTTTTTTCCCTGAGTATGAGTCTGTACCAAATCTTGCAGTTAAGTTGGGCTGTGTCACTAGTTCTGGGTAATGCAGTGGGTGCAGAAATGGCATGTATCACCTACAGGCCTGGCCCTTAAAATATCCCCCATCTTTGTGGCTGGAGGATGAATTTCAAAGTGGTAGAGCCACATGCGAGTCACCCCTTAGAGAAAGTCGCCCAAAAGAGAAGTCTGGCCCATATCAAAAATGTTTCTCTTTTTGTGTTGTCACAGAGAGTTTTGAATTGTATGTCATAGCAGCTGATAATCATTATTTAGCCTAAAGATGTAAGCATGAAAATAAAATATAACTTAGTGTGCAGCATAATAACAAAGCATTGCTGCTATGATGGCCAAAACAGCTGTGCTTTTTGATATGAAATTCACTTGAAAAGAACACAAGTATATGGAAATTAAGACAAATGGGCAACTAACTATAAGCTATGTGGAGACAACTGCTAGAAAGAAACTCAAGGACTTCCACCTCCTGGTATCCAGCCAAGCTTAGAGGCTGCAAAGATGGTTGTATGGAAAAATATGTGTTATTTCAACTATCACATACAACATCTGATTCTATTACAGTGGGTATAAAGTTTTGCTGGCAGGCACAGTACTAGAGGAAACAGTAATACACATTTTCTATCCTGGAAGAACTACCTGTGTAAACCTCGAAGCACAATTTTAATACAACCACCATATATCAACACTGATAGAAAGACTCACAAGCATATGACAGTTTACATCAACAGCAAGAAAATATTTTCAGTTCCATTCTATGACTCGAGAACCTTTTGACTTAATAACATTTATTATGCCAGGCTGCTCAAGAATGGCATGTTCATATGAAGATCACTCTACTGACTTTATACCCTCTTGATTGGGAAGGGATTGTCAGTAGTCAGCGTATCTTTATTACGCCTCCTGGCTGCTAAGTATTCTCACAAATAAAAGCCTTAGTGAACTTGACCCTGATGATCTAACCCAGAAGATGACAGGGTTGGTACCTAGCTCCGAGTGAACCATATCAGCAAGCCACGGAAATCCTCCTTGCCAAAGAAGTCTGCCCCAGTCAAAGGACAGACTGCAAGGTCAGCCAATTCCCAGGGGGAACACAAGGATATCTAGGTGGAACCTGCCATTTTGAGGTGTCAAATAGACATAGGTAGTAGAAATGAGGGCTGTTCACATTTTTTTCTTCTTTCACGCACTTTAGAGAATTGTATACTTGCCTTCATTTACCTTTGACTGTATTTGCCCAAATGGAAAGGGAACAGACGTTACCTCTCTGCCTTCTGGTCAGAAGTTTTCAGAATCAGGGTGAGACTAGTCTCATCCCCTTTTCCCACCAGAGTGAGTAAAAGAGCTGAGCCACTAGCCAGTCTACTTTGCACTCATAGCATGAACAAGAAATAAATACTCCTTGCATTAAGCATTAAGCCCACTGGGGTCTTGGAGACTCTTTCTTACTGCAGCATACCTATGCTATCCAGACTGATACAGTGTTCAGGTGGAGAAGCAGGCAGTTGGATATGTGATTCTGAAGCAAGGAAGGGATACAATGTGGAGAATTGCAAAGACATCAACAAATAAACAATGAGATTGGGTGAGATGAACACAGGAACTAGTGATGTTATAAACAGTCCACGAAAACTCCAAGATACTGAGCAGTCTGGGAGATGAAGGAAGTCCCATGGATTGAAAAGAATTGGCAAGAAAACAAGAAGGAAAGGCTGTAGAACGAAATATCCTGGAAGCCAAAGGAGGTGTGTCCAGGAGAAGAAAGTGTCCATCGAAGTTAACACTACCTACCGATCTGAGGATAAAACGTTGACAGGTTTAACAATGCCTACATTTAAGTGACCTATGTAAGCAGTTTTGTTAGGTGTAAGCCAAGGTGGCTTTTGCACTTTGTCCTGGGAATAAGACAAAAGGAGTCAATAGCTGAGGTGAATCTTTCTACGGCGGGTAGCATATTCTGATACTGCTAAATTTGCTGCTTTCATGCAAGGAAGCTAGGTACATTTTTGTCTTTAACAGCATTTAACAGGTCTCATTGTGTCGTTGTTTCATAATTTAATACCACCTTCCTGTCACCCTGAAATCAGAGAACACTTTTCATCTTTCTGGAATCTTTGCTCTGTCATTCTCACCTCTCTTTATCTCTCTACATTCTATTAATCCCGTCCTGACATTTCAAGAAAATATTCTAGAAAATGTCTCTTTTTCAAACATGAATTATTCTCTCAGTACTTGATCTCATCTTCTTTGAGGATCTCATTTTCATGTGTATTATACTGTATTGTTGTTTATTAAATTATTCATTTGTAATAAATATCAAAATTTCACAATGCCCTTCAGTCTTCTCTGACTACAGGAAGCAAATGTAGAAATAAATCATTTCTTTAGTCTGAAAATTCCAGTGTTCTTTAGTCTGAAAATTCCAGTGTTGCCTAGCAATGGAAGTATTTTAAACACAAAAAAGTACAATATACAATGTTGTCAAATAACGGCACAGAAAAAAATAATAAGGGACCGCTCTCCCTTTTTTCCCAAAAGTATTTCATGTCTTCAGATTCTGTGCCGTAGAAAACATTGGTCCATGACTGATAACATTCAGTTAGTTAGTGTAGGAAATAAAGCATCATGCAAAACATCTATTCCTTAATTTTCCACATTACATTTAAGTACTCTAACATGTCTGTTGTGAACAATTTACTCTTCCACTACATAAATATCTTCCTCCCTTTGAGTTAGCATATATCCTATTAAATAGTAGTTGAGCCATTCAATGTTAAGACATTTATTTTCACAGACGCACACATAGTAAATATCTTTTGGGTTACAGAAGGCTTGCTAAATTGACATTTATAGGACTAGCTAAACTAAATTTCTATTTTTTTTCTTTTTATTAAGTCTTTAGCTTACTTTGGAGATATTCTTGCAGACTTCCATGTCTCATCAACTCTGTAATAATATAAATTGGATCTTCTAAAGTGCAAACAGCATAAAGCTGGATAAGCTTTGGATGTCTTAGGCTCTTCATTATCTGTGCCTCCCTCAGGAAGTCATTTGGATCCATTGAACCTGAAACAAGAAGAGGAGGAAATCACTTTATGTTATTGAGGCATTCCTATCCTCACAGCAGCCTGGTGGGAATCATCAAGATTGCTTCCTGCCTCTCAGTAAAGTAAGAGCATCAGTGTCACAAATCTTCAGAGTTATCAAGAAGAGAATCAGTTCAGCCAGGGCAACCTAATAACTAGATATGTTGGTGCATCAGGGGTGTGCAGTTTATGTGTTACGACCTATAGGTGAACAGAGGTTGATTCAGGTCTGGATGAAAAATGAAGGAAAAGGGAGAGACTGGCAGTCTACTTGATGAGAGAAAGCAGGCATCTTTATACAAAGAAAGGACATTCTACTAACACGAATGCAGGAAGATGCTGCAAATTTAATTACTAAAGCCAGAGCTTTTTTTCCCAGGCACCAGAGAAGACTGATAGCTACCCTGTCCTTGGTGTCGACTGTGAAACAGCTGGGGGAAAAAAAGCCTAAAACAATGACATTCTGCCATATATTTATCCTTAATTCTGTAAGAACATAGAGTGTAGTCACATAGAAAACATTCAAAGTCATCCCCAAAACTTAAGTGTTTTTTAATACCAGTTTTATATGTTTATCTTGAAACTGATATTCAACATCTTTCTCCTGTATGATTTGCTTCCACCAGTCAGATTCTTAGTAGCTTGACCAAATGATAATGGAGACAGTATGGGGGTTATTTCTGAAGACTCGTCTACAATTAAATCATATTTAAATGGCTAATCTCTAGCTCACTATGCAAGGTGTCAAATAATTACCATGGAATAAAGCCTAAAAGGAAGAAAGCTATCTGAAGTTCATATTGCATTACTAATTATCAAATCTTATATTTCTTTTTAGGTATGATGTTTTAGGGACATTACCGTAATTAAAGGAATACTGTTATTTCACATCTCAGTATTCTCTAGGGATAATGTAAATATCATTTCTACAGAAGCCCAAAGAGACCACTGCATTCATCACCCTCTCCATGTTGATTTCACAACTGATATTTGACACCAGGCATGGATACACTTAGACATTCTAAGGTAATACTGTGACTTGTTTATGAACATGACGTTAAGAAGAGGTGTATGTGACCTACAGGTTATTTCACATAGTCTACAATGAAGAAGTTCAGAACCAACCCAGGCCTGATCAAACTCTGGATTCTAGACAAATCTCAGCTCTTCCACTGGCTCCCTGTGTAATTCTGTATGATCCTGAGCAAGATCTCAAACCTCTCTGAACTTGTTTCTTCATCTGTGAAATGTGGCTAATGAGCTTGCTGACATCATAATAAGATCATTATCTGGTTCATTGCAATGCCTAGTCAATGACTGTCAGCCATTATTTCTTTCATCACTAATATGCATCACTCTTGGGAAAACCAAACAGATCAAAAGTATTTTTTCACAGGCTGAGGAGAAGGGACAAGGACTTAGAGCGGGAGAGTAGGGGAGAATGGACCATCCTCTTTTCCATCACACGTTTCTGTGCTGCCTCAATTCCCTTTCTACCATTGACTTACTCCACATACTCAGATAGGATTGAAATTTGGAATCATAGTAGCAGAATGGAGCTGAGAATAAAAACAGTGCCTCAACCATAACAAAGGCCTTTGTTCTCGGATATTACCACTGGATTGTCAATGGAGTAGTGACTCCCCTTGCCCCGAAACACCACACACACACACACACAAATCTGATTCTGAAGCTTCCCATGATGGCAGCAAATATGATCAGATTTAGATAATTTATATATACTGTGTATATAATGCCTGGTGTGGCTGTTAGATCCATGGAATGTAGGACGCTCAAACTCCAACCAGACCACTTGCAAGAGCTGAAATCATGGGACATCATGAGAGTCTGCCGGTGAAGGTTTTTCAGAGCATGACTTCATGACTGTGCTGGTTACAGTTGACCAGTTGCAGACTAAAAGAAGCCCGATCCCAACCCAGCTAGCAATACAACATTAAATATTAATTTTTGCCTGTCACAGCTACTGTGGGAGTTCATTTCAGGCTCATCTTTATTGCGGTCTAGTCTGCTAAGCAATAAATAGCTGCTGAGATTGATTAATGGCCCCAGTGAAGTGAAGACATTTAACCAATCACTAAAGCTGTTTGCTGCTATTACACTGTAAATCAATAATAATTATTCCTGTTGGGGAGAAAACTATCGTGGCTTTTTTTAATATAAGAAATCTGATTTTTCTTGTTCTCTTTTGACCTCTCAAAGCCCTTCCTTAGAGAGTAATGTTAGAAAGGACATCTCATTACCTCTTTTGGGAAAGGAATGGTTAGATTGGACAATAAAGTTTAGTTTCAATCATCGACGAGATTAGAATTCAAAAGCCATATACGCACAGTGATTGTGAAAATCTCAGGTGCTGGAAGAGACTATCCTCACCTGGAGGATTCTGTGACAACTGACCACTTCAAAGTGCCTCTGTAGTGTTCGTCTGGTAAATATAAATGCTACAAAACTGAACTTCTGCACCTGCAAACCTGCACTCCAATGGACACATCTGTCCCCAGCCCACAGAAACCAGCACCCATTAAGAACTCGATGCTAATACTTTATGCACTTGACTCACTTTGTCCTCACAGAACCCTCGACAGTCAGAACTACTGCAATTCTGACTTCCAGATGAGGATATTCAGAAAGGTTAAAAAATTGTCCAAAGTCACAGAGGGCAGAGCCAAGCTCGAGTGCAGGTTTATGTGATACCAAAGTTGACGCTCCCAACTGTCACAGCAGAGGGTCCCCATGTTTTCAGTTCACAGCACCTTTAGTGTCTTAGTTACTTTTGTCACCATGCCCTTAAGCCAAAATGAATACCTAACCATTCTTCTGATTACTTGGTTAGATCCACACAATTTAAGGAGCATTTGTTCTAACAACTTAATAGTTATTTGAAAAAGTAACAGGTAAATTGAAAGAAAGAAATTTTTTTTTCATTCTTAACCACAGTTACTTACTAAATTGATGTATATACCTATAATTGGGCACTGTGCAACTTCTCAAGTCTTGAAATCAGATGGAACAAGGCAACCCTCATCCTAGTCCACGGATTTGTGTGTGTGTATGTGTGTATGCTGCTTTTTATCATAGCAATTATCAAAAACCCAGCTTCACATAAATAATGATGTCAGCAAAAGGAATGTAACATGATCTAAAGTTGAAACTATGAACTACTTGGGCCATTTACACAGTATTCAAAATGTTTACCTCAGAACATTTAAATATTTCATAGCATGGCTGTGAATTCTCCACGGTGCCCCGGTGAGCCTTGGCACTCAGTTTGAGAACCATGATGTTACCATCCTGCTACCAAGCACACTCAACTGTTCAAGTTCTGCCCCCCCTGGGTGCTTTCTAAATCTCCTAGAAGTCTAGGCTAGGTAAACAGTAGAGGCCCCCAAAGAACTATAATCTTGCCTTAACAGGTCATTAGAAATAGGTATGGGGCTACCACTGTAATGTTGCTCTTCACAGACTCTCTTCCAGATAGTGATGCAGCAGAGACAGACATGGGTTCCAATCTCAGCTCTGTCACTTACTATGTGATAATAATAGTGTTTTTGGTCACCTACAATGCAGGCACTATGCAAAGCATTTCTACTAATGACCTAATTGTATCTTCATTATAACCCTGCAAGACTCATTTTATTGTTATTTTTATTTTACAAATGATAAAACTGAAGCAGAGAGTATTTTAAAATTTTGTTCAAGATCATATGACTTGTAAGTCATTGAAAAGTTACTTAACCTCTCCAAATTCTCTTACCTCACCTTTAAAATGGAGGGAGTAAAGTCTGGCTGAATAAATATTGATTTTAGCAAACTTTTATTTACCACCACAGGGAAAAGGAAGATGAAAGAAAATATAGATCCTACATTTTCAAATACAAGGTTTTTAGATGCATCATTTTGCCTTTTAACCATACACAATTAGGATTTAATAAAATAGTTGTTCCCTGGATAGCACCACGATTCCATCTGATTTTTTGTAAGGTATTTTCAATTACATCAGTAGTTTTTAACTAAGATTAATGGGAAAGGTGAGAAGGACACCGGAAAACCAAATCCTAGCTCTAGGGAAGAAATGTGATGTTAGAATCTTGAATCAGAGCTATTTTAAGACTTATCTGGCTTAGGGGAGTGTGCTCTCATCTTTATATTTTAAATCCTTATCCATAGGTTGTGGTCACCTGAGCTAGAGAGAATGACCACAACTCCTGCTGGGTGCCAGCACTGGCTGTTGTGTGACCTCTCAGACATCAATGGTAGCAAGTCGAGCTCATGAAAGGCCACATGTGTCATCTGATGTCCAGTGTGTGCGCACCTGGCTTCAGTGTTTTCACTGCCACCGGGGTGGTGTTGTTCCACAAGCCTTCCCACACCTCGCCAAACTGGCCGGACCCCAGGCGCTTCAGAAGCTGCACGGAGTTGCGATCTATCTCCCACTGGTCCACAGTTTTGTAGGACAAATCGAAAGGAGCTGGGACCTGGATCTGTCTCAGAGAATAATGAAGACACTTGTAAGAAAAAAGGCAGGCTTCATATTGTGTTGTTGTTGTTGAAAACAAAAGCTTAACTGTTCCTTTTTTTGTCTTTAAATTTGTTTTAAATTTTAAAATAGTTAATACACAAGTATAGATTGCATATATTCAAGATGTACAATATGACAAATTGGTATACATATGCATTAAGCAATGATTACCATAATCAACTTAGCACATCCATCATCACTCATGCTGTACATTAGATTCCCAGAACTTGATCATTTTATAACTTAAAGTTTGCATCCTTTGACCAACAGCTCCTTATTTCCCCGCCTGCCCAGCCTCGGTAACCACTATTCTACTCTCTGAACTAAGAGTTCAACTTTCTAGAATCCACATATCAAAGAGATCATGCAGTACTTGTCTTTCTGTGTCTGGTTTGTTTCTCTTAACATAATGCCTAGCTGCTTCTTAAAGGAAATGTTGCTTTTAAAAACAAAATACTGCAAATTGCATTCTAATGAATTCCAACCAAAAAACGATGGTGGGAGAATCAGCATTAGTAACTCTTCAAACCAAGTCAGACATCTTGTTGCCTTCTGTCCTGTACCTAGTGCCATCCTCACACAGGTCTGGAATGACTTCTCTTGGCCTCCACCTTGCTAACTCCTCCCAATGTCAAGACCCAGTTGAAGTTCCACCTCATCCACAAAACTTTTCCAAACTCTTTGACTATGTTATTTAGTATACAGATCAAATATTTTGCATAATTAAATTTTTATCTCCTTTAAAACTCATCTTTTTTCTTCAATTCTTCATTCATTTCTTCATTTGTTTGGCACATTAAAATTTTTTAAGCATCAATGAGGTGCCATTTTGTAAACAGAACAGGCAAAACCCCTGCCTTCCTAGAGCTTAAAGTCTAATTCGCCATGTGACAAATGGTCTGTGTTTCAACTACTAAGCTCTGTTGTTATGGCACAAAAGAAGCCAAAGAAAATGAGTAAGTGAATAAGCATCCATTTCAATAAAACCTATTTATAAAAACAAGCATGGGACAGTAGTGTCTCACAGGTCACAGTTTACCTGTCCCTGCCTTAGGTAATCAAATAGCAATTTTTTTTCTTTTTCTGAACTGACATCACTTAACAGATACTCAAATATCTGAAGGGGAAAAGTTAACATCAAACAAAAATGAACAAATCTTGAAAGCACTTCACCTTTAAGCATGGTTTTCCCAGCTTGACACACAAGCCATCACTAGTCTTGGTGTAGTGGCTTACAAGTTCGCTCAATGTCGAAAAGGTTCTTCTCCGGGTAAGAAAAAAGCCCCCTTCATCCAATCGTCTGATCCTGTAGTGTTTTACAACTCCTCCATCTAAAACTGGAACCCAAAACAAGTCCCGTTAATAAACTTCTTGCTAAAGCCAAACAGATTTATTTTGTGGTGATATTTTCAATGCATGAAATGAATGTTTTACAAAATTTTATGCATTTCTCGACGTTGTCTCAGAAAAGAATTAAGAAAGTTTACAAGGGATAGATAGCAACAAGAGTGAGAAAGAATTGGAAAAGAATACCAAAGGAAATATAAGATGAAAGTAAAGGAGGGAGGCTAGCACTAAAATAATAATAATAATAACCAACCATGCTTTGAAGCACACTTGATTAAAACAAGCCATAAAATTGACTCTATCTTTCCAGCAATGCAAGAAGAGAAACCATACCATTTCCGAGATAAGATAAAATCACAAAAGGTTTAGAACCAGTTCAACTCTTCTTGATACAGAGACCAGGGAGGAATTTCTCCCTCAAAATCCTACAACATGGAGACTGAAATGGAGTTGACAGTGTCCTCAATTTTGTGTTACAATAGCATAATATAAGGAACTCTGCAGGGCCATTCATGACACTGTTCCTCAGCACACACTGGAAACAGAATGTCCCAGCACCACTGGCTAAACGCAGTTCCGCAGAGCCTAAGATGATGCAGTCCACATAGGTAACTTTCCAGTGGAATTGCCACATCCAAGGGCAGGTCCTCTAGCACTTACAGCAATAGACAGATTGTGTTATCTGTAGGCAGTCTGACTTGGTACTTTCTTCGGCCACCAATTGTCCCTTCTTCTGTGATCAACACCCCAACTTTCCTCAGAGAATCAATGCTTCTCTAAGAGTATGTGTTCTGGAGAGACCTGGTGACCACCTGGAGTTGGTGAAGGCACAGCCAGGGCAGTCATAGTCAAAGAACCCCAGTACCAGGACTTGTTTTAGGGAGTTCCAGAAAGAGTTTTACTGCTGTTGTTGCTTTGGTTTGGGTTTTCCTGCTAAAAGTTTGGAGCCATTGTCAGAATCCTGGCCCCCAGGTAAGAAGCAAACTTGCTTAAGAGGCAGCCCAGTGGAAAGTCGTCTTGATACAGAAAGTGAAGCTTAGCCCCTGGAGACTGCCAAGCCTGGCTTTTCAACTACAAAAGTCAATTAATTACCTTTTTGCTTAAACTAGTTTGCACAGGTTTTCAGCACTTGTATTCAAAATATTGACCAATACGCTTTATACCTATGCTTTCACTTAGCAAAGTTATTGATAACTACTGAGCAGCATATACCACAAATATAGCTAGTCTGAGTTCCTTGCTAAATATAGAAGCTATGCTTCTGTGATCGGTCAAGCAGAAGCAATGCTCTTAAGAAAGGGAAGGAGACATCTCAATACCCACATGGAAGTGTACTGGGGGCATTCCAATGGCGAGGGTGAAACTTTTCTCAAAAAGTAACTGGCACACACGAGGATAGCTAAAATGAAAAAAAGACAACCAGTATCGAGTATAGCAAGGAAGTGGAGTGATTTTCATCACAGTTGATGCCAGTGTAATTTTCACCACAACTTTTGAAAACTGCCATTGTCTTCTAACATTGAACGTCATCTTATCTACAATAAGGTGATTTCATTCCTAAGTATAGTATCAACACAAGAATGCACAATATATTCACCAAAACTCGTCTATAAGGATGCTTTTAGTTGTATGATTTTTAAGAGTCTACACTTGGAAACAACCCAAAAGTCCATTAACTAATGGATAGAACTATCCAAATGTCTTCAACTAATAAATAACAGAATTAACTAAATGATCGTTGTCCAGCGGAATACTATGCAGACTTGAAAATAAACAAACTCCATCTACGTATAACAAAACAAATGCATCTCACAAACACAAAAATATGGTCCCATTATTAAAAAGCTTGAAAGCAAGAAAAACTATTGGCCTGAGGGGTCAGAGTGTTGGCCTTATTCCATTTCTTGACTGGGTGCATGTTCCATGAATGTATTCACTTTGTATTCATCAAACTAAGCACTTGTAAGGTGTGTACTTTTATTGTGTGCATCATACATCAATTTAAAGGAATACTTTTAAAATGGCTATTTTTCTCCTGTTCATGGACGAATGGAAGATCAAGTCTCCATACTGCAACATCATGGTGCATACTGAATTGTTTCAGTCTGGAAGATTATTAAGGTAAATGCCACCTAATTTTTACCTTGGATATAAAAATTCTCAGTAACATACTTTAAGCAAATAAGTACTCCTGTAAGCACTGTGAGAAACTTGGTTAGGAAATGCCCTGCTAAATAACTGAGCAGACTTGTGGAATAGGGATATTTGCTACATGCCAGAAAAATGCAGGGAATGACAAACAAAAACCAAGACTTGAGTGTGCAACACTGAACTGGAAGGTAGCCTTTTTAACACAGCATCAACAACAGTGATGCGATTCATACAGCAGACAAGCATAACTAATAATTTAATCACACAGTTTTCATTTTCTTCCCATTGCTCTTTAACTTGTGTTCAGTGAGAATAACACTCTCCTGCTCCCACATGAAAGCTGTGGCAATGCCTTTCTGCTCATGTTTAAGTATCAGACTGTACTCTTTCACTTAAAATCACAAGCACAGTCTCAAGTCAAGCCTAGAAGATCCAGGCCAAGACATGAACCAAACACTCGACTACACAATTGGATGTCAAATCTTTCTATTCCTTTTCAGGTTTGTTGTGATCTTTATTATTGAACCCAATCTATTCCATGTCCTACAGATTATAAGTGAATGATAATGCCTGTGTCATTCTTACTGTGAAATACTATGAGTTCAAAATAGCCAGACATCTCAGTAGTTCAACTGCAAAAAATATAAGGCTACCTATAAAATAAAATGGAATCATCCATCAGTGAAGTCACTGATATCATGATTGAATTGAGTTAAAGGACAAGAGATCCTGTGTTTACATCTACTCTCATTAATCAGTTTGACTTAGGGAAAAATGTTTCACCTGTTAACTGATTAATCTACCAGAATATGTCCAAGAATTAGGATCCATTGCATGGTGGGGAAGCATGTAAGAGAAGTACAGTAAGTACAGTAAGGATTTGTTTCATGCTGAAAGGATTCAGCTATTCTGCACATTCACTTCTATGTGGACTATACCATAGGATGACTCATGACCTGACTGACTTCACACTCTGAGTAATTGATTCTGAGGTATCCGCGTCATTCGGATGGACTCTGATGGTTTCAGTCCTACTTGCCAGACCCAAATGCATTTATATGTAGTTGGTGACAGATAGAAGCCCAGTTTTCTTGTAATGTCAAGGTTTTATTTTGTAGTCCTTCCATAAAACTTAAGTAATTCTCACCCTGGAGCTTTTGATGATAGAAAGGTGTTCATCTACCACACATAAAGGAGTGCTGTGAGATTTTATCAGAGAGCACTTCCAAAGAGCTCTCTTCCAACTCTGCTACACCAACAACATATTAAATTATTATGAAATCCAAGAAATTCCAAAATTAACTTTGAAAAACAACATAAATCTAAAGTCAAGGATTACGTCTGCAAGACACAAAGACATCTAGTTGACTCAGTGAAAAATATCAGTATAACAATTACCTTGGTATTTTATAGGTAAACAAATGACTGATTGTGCTGATTCTCATTTTTCAGCTGGTCTTCTGGCATCATCTGGGCATTGCTTTATTCTTGCTGACTGATAATAATCTCTTTCCATACTGAGTAAAACAATATGGCTTCATTGATTGAGCAAAGGATTGAAAATCAAGAACTCACTGCCCTAATCTTATTCTGCCAGTGATTTGTTCTTTGACCCCAGGCAAGGAATTTCATTTCAGTTTCCTTATCTGGAAAATGAGAATAATGATCTTATCTATATAATCCCACAGGGATAGTTTGAGTGTCATTGTTCACAAAGGATGATAGATATTTCTAATGTGCAATATGTGAGTATTGTATTACAATATCAGTGTTGTCAAATAGTATTGTCAACAGAAAAGAGGCACTTCCAAAGTAACATTTTCTACCCTTTGCACAACAATGGCTATATAACACAGTGATCACCAAATATATTAGTGAAGAAATTGCTATTAAGTCTGTGTATGAGAACTCCTGTACTTGTAAGCTGCTGCTTATTTGGTTTGTTTTTGAAAGATTAATTTGTACCTTTCAAAACTATTATAGACATCATTCCCCCAGCAATCATGCTGAGATAGCTATACACCTAAAAGGAAACAACATTTAATTGAGTTATATCTTCCATTAAAACAATTCAAGACGCACTCATTTTACACTGAATTCTGTTCTACAGCAAATAGAGTAGGATTCTAGTATGAGTAGCTGTGAGAGGAATAAATACATATGTCTAAATTATTAAAGTAGCACCATGTAGAAGAGTTGTTCACTCCTTTTCTAGGGAGAAAAATCAACTAAGACCAAAGAGAACAAACAGAACTGATTTATTTTAAGCATATGACTCAACTAGTGGGTCCCAAACGACACCTGGTTCATAGCCAGTAATATTCAGTGTGCTGTGGACATTGGTCAGTAATTTTCTACTAAACTTGTAGATCGAGTTAGGTGAAGACCCATTAAGAAGGTGTCGCCATTAGTTAGCTCAAAAAATGCTTACTAAAAATACTATTTGAGAGCCAGGCTCGGTGGCTCAGCCTGTAATCCCACGCCTTTGGGAGACTGAGGTGAGTGGATTGCCTGAGCCCGCAGGTTCGAGACCCGCCTGGGCAGGCGAGACCTCATCTCTACAATAAAAAAATCAAAAAATTAGCCGGGCGTGTCGGAAGTCTGAGGCAGAAGGATCGCCGAAGTCCAGCAGGTCGAAGCTGCGGTGGCCAGGAGCGGCCACTGCGCTCCAGTCTGGGCGACAGAGTGTGACTCCAACTCAAAAAAAAAAAATTACTATTTGAGGACACATATGACAGCTTCCATGCCCTCGGGTCTTTCAGGATTGTTATTGGTCAAGAAGCCCAGCTGAGGCGACTTTCTAGTCAGAGGCAACATAATTGATAACCCTTGCGGGCAA